GGCGACGAGCGCGCCTTCGCCGGGGCGCGCTGGCAGCGGCGCGGTCTGGACGAGCTTCACGGGGGGCCTCTGGGGTTGGGTCATGCTGCCTGCATATCGCTCACGTCGCCCGGAGCGAACGTTCGTAGGTCTCGAGGGCCTCGTCAATCGTCGTGAAGTCGCTGAGCCTGCCGCGATGCAGGACCGCCCCGAGATTGCAGTACTGGCGGATCGTCTCGACATGCTGCGACACGAGGATCAGCGAGGCCGCATGCATGCGCTCCCCGAAGGCGGCCGCGCACTTCCGGCGGAAGGCCGCGTCGCCGACCTCGATCACTTCGTCCACGAGGTAGAGGTCGAAGTCGAAGGCGAAGCTGGTGGCGACGGCGATGCGGGCAAACATGCCGGAGGAATAAGTGCCGACCGGCATGTCGAAATAGCGGTCGAGCTCGGCAAATTCTTCGATCCAGGCGCTGACCTCGCCATGGTTCATGCCGTAGATCCGCGCGAGGAAGGCGACGTTCTCGCGGGCCGAGAGGTGGGGGTGGAAGGTCCCGGTGAAGCCCACCGGAAATGACACACGCCCTTTGCGCACGATGCGTCCGCGGTCGGGCATCTCGCTGCCGGCGATCAGGCGCAGCAGGGCGGACTTGCCCGCGCCGTTCACGCCGAAGATGCCGATGCGGCTGAGCGGCGGCAGCTCGAAGCTCACATCGTCGAGGATGACGTGACGCCCGCCGGGCACGGCGTAGCTCTTGCTCACTCTTTCGAGGCGGATCACTGGGTCCTCATGCGGCGGCGCAGTGCCCGTTCGAGGATCAGCCCGACCAGCACCGTGCCGAAGGCGACGGCGAGGATGTAGCTCTTGTCGAGCCACGGCGGATCGTAGTCGCGGAAGAAGCCGGTACGGAACCACTCGATGCACTGGAGGAGGGGGTTCCAGGACAGCGGCTCGCGAATCCATTCCGGCATGCTCTGCGGCAGGAAGAACACGCCCGAGGCGACGTAGAGGAAGCGCTGCGTGATCATCCAGCCATTGGCCCACGGCCGCCACAGGTTGTTCATGACGGCGCTGATCAGCCCGAGCCCCAGCGCGAACAGCCAGACCGCCAGCGTGGCATAGACCGCCTCGATGTGATTGTCCGTGCGCGGGCCGTAGGAGATCAGCTCGAAAGTGCCGAAAGTGACGACGATCACGGTGAAGCCGATCAGCAGCTCGGTGAGCGCCATCGCCAGCACGAGGTCGAGGCGGGCGATCACCGGGACCTGCAGCACGCCGATATTGTCCTGGAACAGGTTCTGCGAGTGATCGATGACGTGGATGAACAGATAGAAGGGCATCACGCCCGTCGCATAGAAGAAGAACAGGTGCCCGCCGATCGGCGGCATGCCGCCGTTGAACAGGCTGAGCACGATCCCCAGGGTCACGATCTGGATGGCCTGCGGGATGAACAGCGACAGGAAGCCGAAGCGGCCCTGCGCCGTGCGATGGCGGAAGTCGCGCAGCA